CATTGTTTTGGCAAGAAACGTGAGTGCCACGAGCTGGTCGCGGATGCGCTGACTGGGCGGGGCGCTGGGAGGGGCCGAGTGCGCGTCGTGTCGTGGGCACGGTCGGTCGGACTCGCGGTCATCCTGCGATGAGGAGCAGGAGCTGCAGCTGCATACCGCAGCACTAGCAGCAGCGGCAGCAGCGGCAACACTCTGCCCGTGACCCTGTCGCGCCGCGAGGCACTCGAGCCCACCGTAGCACTGCAGCGTGTACTTTACCTATGAACTTTGATCGTGCATGAGTATGAATGGCAAGGCGGGCCAGCGCGCAGTGCCCTCACACCTGCCTACAGAGTACGTATACCTGCCTGATGATCTCCCTCTCTCTCTCGGTCACGACCCGCCACCTCGCTCGCACCCACGGCCGATCCCGGGGCCTGCCCGCTGGCGGCGGGCCATGCCCCGCTCCCCCGCTACATCGCGATGCGTTGGTCTCGGGTCACGCCGCGCCTAGTCGCGCCCGCAGCGCCCTTCACGAGCGCTGCTGCTGCTGCGGCTGCTGCGGTGTCGGCCTGGGTGGGCTGGACAGGGCAGCGCTTCCTTGCACTGAGGCGGTAAGCGAAGGCGTGCGGCCTAAACGAGACCCACTGTCTCATTGCTGTCGTCGATCTGCGCACCACTACCCGAGGAGGGGAGGGGCATGCCTCGCCTACCCCGCCCTTCCAACTTGCATAATTAACCCTGCAACGTTTCGCTTCAGCTTCCTCAGACTAGGATGCAAGCGTCCTTCGGGTAACCTCTCTCGAGCCCTCGCCCCTCCCCTCCCTCCCTTGCCCCCCCCCCCTCTCTCTCTATCTCGCTCACTCTCGCTCTCTTATCCCCCTCCGAAAGTCAAAGGAGTGGTGTAGTGTGTTTTTTATCGTGCGTGGCGCGATGCTTTGACGTCCGGGTGGCCGGCCCCCCGGCCGCGCACGGTGGCGGGCGGCCGGCGGCCCGGGTGTTTATAACTGTATCGGCTGAGGAAGTTTATGACTTGTGACCACTAAAGTGAAATGCTGTGCTTGCGGAAGAGTGGCGAGGCGATGTAAGTGAAGGGCGCTCCTGCTCGTGTGTGTGTGTGCTGCGGGCTCTTAAAAGAGTTCCGCAAGTGCGATAGACGCCATTGCATTCGCCTCGCACGTGTCGTCGGTACTGTACTATCCTACATCCCCTCGCCTAGAGCCTCCTGTAAAACAGCTCACAGCGACGCATGAATTCCAGAAGACTTGCGAAATAATGTTTGACAGTCCACCTGCTGCAGTGCGACGGGCTTAACGCGACCGGAGATAAGGTGTGGGGCGAGCGCGGTGTATTTCTGTCAGCTCATCTTGTCAGACGGCTGTCTCTCTCTCTCTCATTTTTTTTTATTTAAGTGTTTACTTTTGCCTCCCGTGATGTCGCCGTATCGGTCGAACGGGTGGTACTCGACGCCCGCGTCGTCATGCGGCGAGCGAAAAGGCTAGGGTGATAGAGAAAGAGAGAGAGAGAGGGGGAGGGGAGAGGGGTGTCAGTTCAGGAAACACTCCTCTCGGACACCGCCCCACAGCAGGGCGGCGCGGGCATCGCGGGCGCGAGGTGATGTTTCGGGACGCGGCCACACCGCGCCGCCGCACCGCCGGTCACTCCGAGGACGACACACGCCGACGTGTACCGCGGGGGACGCGGCGGGGCGGGGCGGAGCGCGGCCGTCGTGCGTCGCCAAGTGAAAGTTCGGCGGCCTCGTCGGCGTCCAGCACACGGCGGGGCGACCACGGCGATGCGCCGAGTAGAGTCCGAGTGTCGCTCAACGCTCGACCCGGAAAGTGAATGTGGCGGAGCACGCGGAGCCCCTCGGGGCACACAAGACGGAGTGCCTCAGGGGGTGCGCTCCTGGTGGGGGCTCACATTGGCCAGCTTTGGCTCCCGCACCCCGCACCGCTGCTGCGGCTCCCACTTCACTTCCTCTGCACAGTGTACAGTCCGGGGCGGGGCGGGGCGACCGACTGCTCGTCAATTGGCTCAATCGAGTCTAGTTCGACACGATGACCCGCCGGGCCCGGGCCCGACCCGCGCGGCATTTAAATCGGGCCTGTCCCGATGCGTTGTGACTCACTCCCGATTGTCTCGCGCGGGTACCGCCGCCGCCTCTCACTCTACTACTTTTGTCGCGGTCGGCCGTGGCGCGTACTCTCACAAATAAAGTCCATACCACCGTCGAGTGATACTCCATCATACTGCGCTGC